CTTGACGGTACCTACATAGGCTTACCGTGGACTGACCTTTTTGGAAGTAAATATGAATATTGATGAGTTCTCATGTATATGAAATTGTCAGACGGTGTCTCCAGATTGTAGCACTGTACGTTTTGCATAATAAAATGATTAAAAACTACGCCTGTGGAAGGCCTAGTCAAATAAGTTACGGGTGGGCATGCAGTGGTGAAAATCAGCAAAATCCAACTCCAATTCCCAACATAAGCAAGTGACACCTGTAACTTACTTTTATAAGTTACTGTGCCTGTACTTACCAAAATAGTTGTAACGTAAATTAATAAATGTATTTTACATAATAAAATCATCATTATGGCTAGGAGGACTAAAAGGCTTTTCGTGGTCACGCAGGAGGTCAGGGGGACGAATAGGCTTTTTGTGGTCACATAGGCGATGAGTAGGCTTTTCGTGGGCAAATTGGTGGTAAGTGGGATGAATAGGCTTTTCGTGGTCAAATAGGTGGTAAGTGGGACGAATAGGCAGTCTGCGCAAAAATAGGTGGTCAGGGGGACGAATAGGCAGGAGTCCGCCCCCTGTGGCCGACGTACAGATTGCAACAAAATGCGCAAAAAAGTGCCCAGATCCGTCGCTGTTCCGTGGGGCCCCCGGGGGCCCCAGGCCCCGGCTCGCGCCTCCGGCGTGACCCGCCGGGCCTCCCCTGGGTGCCCGGGCGGTCGTCGGGGGCTGGAAAAATCATCTAGGGGGCGGCGCGCAGCGTCTGTGCGAGGACCCCTCAGCAAAAGTGATGGCCTAACGGGCGTAAGTGCTTCTGAGCAAATGAAGAGAAAGCAAGCCCATATGCTTCAAAGCTTCTTTCTCAGTGAGGGAAAGTTGCCTTATACATTGTTGAGAGTAAAGCTTTCCCATCATATGAAAGATGTTTCTGACTGCGTAAATTCCATGCATTACCATTTGAGATTGAAACGTAAAGTCTGAATTTAGTTTACCAATCAAACGCATTTATTCTCTATTTGACTTTTGAACAATATGCGCACGTATCTATCAGGTGATTGCTGCCCAGTATGTCTGCATTCACCTCTCTTCACTTTGTTCTGGAGTAATCTGGAAATGTTCGCGCAAAGAACAACATTCAATAAGTAAAAATGTCAGCAATTCTAAAAGAGAGAGGGGCTCAAAAAACGAAAAACTTCAAATACAAACAACATAAAAAACATGACAGCTATCAGGTTCTTTTACTAAAGCTGATGATGGAGTGGAAGTTGCTGGAACAGCAAGTGAACCGGGCACACGGAGCAGATAAAAACAGTGTCATCGTCCACACAGATTTTAGGTTAGTTTGATTATTAACTGGATTTATATTGTTTTTGTGTTTGAACAAACTATATTCATTTAAGGGTTGGGAGATAATCCGGTAGAAATATATCAATCGTTGATTGAAGCGCGTATGTAGTCTAAAAGCTTATCATTTCAAGGCGTTTTAAGCAGGTTTTAAAACAAATGGTTTATACTGTTCATGGACATTACGCTGCGGGGCAGAATTCATTCTGGTAAATGCGTGCGTTAAAACGGTTTCTACCTGATACACCTGCTCGTATTACTGACTAAACTTTCGCTCCTTGTGCTTAAATGGTCAAATACACATAACTATGTGTCAAAATGCCCGTCTTTGCAAGTATTCTCGTAAACACAGTTATTTGTGTCTTAAATGAATGTTAATAGTTAGGCTATATGAGATCAGATATATGATGAGATCTTAATATTACTGACTAAACTTTCGCTCCTTGTGCTTAAACGGTCAAATACACATAGATAGTTATGTGTCAAAATGCCCGTCTTTGCGAGTATCCTCGTAAACACAGTTATTTGTGTCTTAAATGAATGTTAATAGTTAAAGATAAAGCATGTGTTCGGCTATATGAGATCCTTAGCCTATATGATGAGATCTTAAAAGGATATTCACCCAAAAATGAAGATACTGTCATCATATACTTACTCTCAGATTGTTCTAAACCTCTATGAATTTCCTTTTCCCCCTCAACATAAAAATATATTTTGAAGAATGATCGTAACCCGTTTCTGGTCCCAACTGACTCCAATCGTTTTTTTGTTTGTTTTTTTCATATATGAAAGTAGTGAGGGCCCAGCAACTGTTTGGTTACCAATATTATTCCAAATATATTCTTTTGTGTTCAACAGCATGAAGGAATCTCATACAGGTTTAGAACATCAACAGAATTTTCATTTTTGGGTGAACTATAATGCAGCCTAATATAGCTGCTGTTACCATTTGTGTCAATAATGTAAATCAAACATCAGAAAGAAAATTACTTACTGTCCTTGACTGAATCACTTTTGTAAAAGAAATAACAATGAATGTATATTGCATTTATACAGTGAAGACTATTCAGTCTATTTGCACATTTTCTTTATACAATATATTTATTATTCAGTGCTTTAAGTTTTTCAAGTAGGCCGTTTTTTATGATCTTTGTTCTGTTGTAGCCTAATTTGTGACTGTTTACTTGTCTTCAGTAAGCTCATCTTTACTTAGGCTAGTATTCTTTTTTATTGAA